ATACATACATGTATGTATGTATGTATATATATATAACACTTTATAAGCTGAAACATTACAGGCAGATATTGCATTAAGGAGGTCTGAAAAATAGTCACACTTAATCATGGTTTTTAGAGATATTTCCCCCAATTTATGAGCTCCACCCTGTTTTCCTTTTCACGATTCTTCTGATTGTATAAGTAAAATGACATCTGTGGGTGGGTGTAGGCATTTTCCAGCATTCTGTACCTGAAGCCTCGAATGCAGATCATAGTTCGGGGTCAAAAGGTGAAATCTCAGCTCATCGCCAAGAGCCTGGCCTGGATCAGAAAGGATCACTATAAGCCTACTTTCCTGGTATCCTTTTTACACAGCTTTTCTACAACTGTATAATTTTGGTGATATGTTTATACTGCTGCTTTTTTGCATTTTCCTTAAATTGTGTGCTAGACCCGAAGAATTCCTATTACTTTTGGGTATAACACCAAAAGCAAAGAGCAGTGTGGCATAATGATGTATCACAAGAACCGGCTCATTAAAGCTTACGAACGTGTCGGCTGTCAGCTTAAGGTCAGTTTCTGCTGTTTAAGTGAGTTTTTTTTTAATCACGTGTTTTAACATGTAGAATGATGTAGATGTTATCATTTGCTAAAATGTTGCTTCCTACAGGCCAACAACAATGGTGTTGGAGTCATTGGGGTCATAGAATGTAACTTTTTGGATCCCACTCACAACAAACAGAGTTTTATGGAGAATGACAAGTACAGGTAATAGCATTCCTGATTACATTTATCACCTCAAAGGCTCGATTGAGGTCATAATGAGGTTTGGGTGGGTGAGGCACAGTCTGATGTCTGTCTGATGCAAACTTTCTTGGCACAGGAAAACCATGAATAATTTGGGGATTAAATTGGAGGAGTACTGGAAAGAGATACGCTACAGAAAGACGAAAGAAAATCCAAATAGCACCATACTACCAGAAGATATCAAGTTAGTACACTTCGCAGCGACTGGCATCTGGTTTTCATTCATTCAAATTTGTGTTTGCATATGTGTTTAACCAGGCTGGTTTGTCTTTAGGAAGCGACCAGATCAAAACTGGGCGCAGTGTGATAGCTGTCTGCAGTGGCGTAAACTTCCTGATGGCATTGACATCAACAAGCTGCCAGATAAATGGTTCTGCCAAATGAACCCTGATCCTCAGTTCAGGTAATTGGATTTTTGGCAGTTTACCCGGACTCTGTTCCAGAAAGCAGGTTCAACAATCTCTTAGTCCATTACCAAAACTAACCATCGGTTTTGATTCCAACAAGGCCTGATCAGAGTTATTTCCATCAACTCTGAGTGTGTTTACTCAGAGTTAAGCATATATGTGAGTAGTAGAAATAAAGTCTTCATCAATGGTACCAGTATGCACCATGGCAAAGGGCAAATAAAAAGTCGACCCCCATTTTATTCCAGTGTTTGAGGAACCTAAATTTGCTGGTAATTATTACATGGTTATGTCACTACCTCCTTATTTGGTGACACTGGTTTTTCTGAATGGACAAACACACACAGATGAATCAGGAAAGAAAATCTTTATTTACTTATGGGAGGGGGACTGGCACTGGTTACCAGTCTTTTCACTTCAATACTCAATTGCACTTCCAGGAGCTGCCAGGTAGCCGAGGAACCAGAAGACTCTGATGATGATCAGCCTTCGTATCGCAAGACCTACAAACAGCAGTGAGTCACTGTGACAGAAGTTTAAATTAATATTTGTACAGAAATCTAAGCGAAAATCTTAACTGATCATAAAAGAGGTGACCTGTGTGATTTATTTGTTACAGGGAGAGAGAGGAAAAGAAACAGGAAAAGGAAAGACAGAAGGTAAGGATGCGTCATTTTCTGTAAATCGTTTTTACTTTTTTTTCTGCTGCAAGGGCACCTGCAGTGCCTCACTATGATTTTGAGGGATTTTGTCATTTTAATTATTTGTGATCTTGTGCGCATTTGTGGAGTATTGAACCCACGAAGAATAGTTGCCTCTGTCTAAACTTGCCAAACAAACTGAGGCTCTCAGAGAGCGGCAGGGAGACCTGGAACGGCAGCTGCATCAAACAGTGTTTCCCATTTGTCACTTTGGAGGCCAGCAGTGATGTGCTGTTGATAGAATCATCATATCATACTAAACAAATCTAAACTTAGCACAAACTCTAATTATATATTTATTTGGTCTATCATTATTACTATTATTATTATTATTAGTAGTAGTACTAGTAGTAATAGTATCATATTATTGTTATTATTATTATTATTATTATTTAGGCCAGTGTTATAGGGCAGCTTCAAGCTGGTGTTCTGCAAAAAACTAAACCTAGCACCTCTTCCAAATTGAGGGCAGGTTTCCATATAATGGGGGATTTCACAGGTAAGCCACGAAGTAGGCATCCCAAGAAGATAACACCACAAGAACTCCACTTTTCCTCAGGAACTCTAGACAGGCTTCTAGAGATTTAAAGTCACGGTTTGCAGGATGATATGGCCGACAGCTTTCTACCCAGGCAGAGTGCACATAGCCAATCTCCAGTCTCACTGGGCTGCCAACAAGCCTGCCAAGAATACTGTGGTTCACCATCAGGCCTTTTTGTGCCCATGTGCACTGGAACTTGAACATGTGAAAGGGTGGAGAAGATGCAGAGAACGATATGTTGATTGCAGCACTGATTGGGTAAGAACTTTTGGAGGTGGAGGCAGTGTGGTAGTATGAGGCGGCATCTCCCTCACTGGAAAAAATGGCTCATCAGTGCAGAGAGATGACGAGATAAAACCAGTGGCAATCCCATATCTCCGCAGTCTTGCACCGAACCATTCCTGACCTGAAACCCACTGAACAGTTGTGGGATCAACTTGGGCTTAAATGGTACCATTTAAGGGAACGGTGTAAGATTTATTGACAAGAAAAATTGTTACAACAAGAAAATAATCAGCCAAATACAAGATTCTTTACTTTTTGTGCTAAGTTTAGATTCAGTTTAGTCTAATATGATGATTAATGTTCAGTTTCTTTTTTATTGACAGATTGTCCACCAATCCCCTTCCACTCCCACTACTTTGAGGAGCTGTTCATTACAAGAGGGCGCTCCAAGGCCTGAATCCTCACCGCTGACGTCTTCCACCATTTCTCAAGCTGGTGAGAAATTTTTCTCTTTGAGTGTGAGTGGGGAAAAACACTTTGAGAAATTAAAATGTACTTGTATTCTTTCTCTTTAGCCTACAGCCCTTCTTGTAATGATGGTTTTCCAGTTATTACTAGCGTATGCTCATTGTCAGCAGCCTTACTGTCAGCAGGTGCATTGTCAACCCCGAGGTATGGTTTTGTGTTGTTTGGCAGCTTAAATATGTGTTTTGGGACAGTAACACTGGGCGTTAACTCTGTTTTTTGTGCTCTGCAGAGTAAAAAGGAAACTGCCTGTTACTCCACAGAACACACCAAAAAGATCTCGGATAAATGGCTTCCATAGGAGCACCTCGGAAACAGCCCCATCAGTAGATGTGACCCCACTGAGCTCTCCTTCTGTGAATGTTGATAGTAATAATGATGATACCGACGATGAAATTGTCATCTTGGAGACTGCTAGCACCCCCAAGCCAAAACAGAACCTCTACGATTTAAATAAAGTGAAGAAAGAGGAAGAGCAAAGTGACAATAATGTCAGCATGCTGTTGGAGTGTAGCGATGATGCTGCTGTGGATGTCCCCTCAGACACGAATGCTGCAGGAGCAGGCTCTGCAGGGTCTGCAGCTGTGGAAACCAGTTCCTCCCCAGCGCCCCTTCCACAGCTGTCAAGCGCCACTACCCAGACAGAAGCACCTATGGTGAAGCAAGAAGGCGAGGACCAAAAGCAAGATGATATTAATAAGGGTGGTAAAGAACAGACCTCGAATATGGATAACTGCAACGTTCAGCAAAGAAAATTTAAGCAGGAGAGCAGTGGAGACGGTCATAGTGAACATCAGGGACAGCAGACCTTGCAGAATGGCGTGAACCATGATCTAGAAAGGGAAGGAAGTCCTAGACCTTCCTGTTCGAATATCGGTGACAACGAATATAGTCCACTTACCTACCCCAATATCTCTGAGGTACAGCAACAACAAGACCAGCTGCTTGAGCTCATGCAGGAGACCGCTCAGGAGAGAGACTCTTTAAAAGAACAGGTCCAGAAACTTACCTCACAAGTGAAAGACCTGGAGAAAAAACTGAAGGAGATGGCACCGGTCAGCGTAAAGAAGGAGTGTTGTCACCAAGCCAGCCAGACAGAAGAAACAAGAGGGCAGAAGGACTACAAAAGTCTGTTCGAGAAGGCCAAACAGAAAGTCAGTGAACTGATTAAAGAGAAGGAGGCTTTAATAGCAGCATCTGATACCAAGGCCAATCTGAGTGCTGACAAAAATGTGGAAAATGACGATGAGATTGCGCTGCAAGTTGACGCTCTAGTCCGGGAACTGGATCAAAGAACGAAGGAGACAAAAGAGCTGCGCTCACGGGTCAGTGACACTGTGTAGGGCTGTCTTTGTTTAAAGAAAATAGTAAAAGTGATGACAAAAAGCTTTTCTCACGTTCAGTTGAAATAATTTGAGTCTTAAACGCACTGAACTAAACAAGCTTTTTACCTCTGCCTAGCTTATGTTTCTGGTAGCGCTGACGTAGGAACGTGCATGTCACTCCGTCTGTAAACACAAAAAGTTGGAAATGGTCGTGTGAAATTTGACCTGTATAGAGGTCAAATAGATTGATCTGAAGGTCAACATGATAAATGATGGTATACAGAGCTGTTACAACTATGTTTCTTACTGCTATTGTTTGTATTGGCAACATACTGTTTAGGGAACAGTGTGTAAAAGTAAATACTCCTCAGACAGTGAGCTGCCCTGGGGGAGGTTTGCACTTACTGAGTGGTTCTTGTTAATGCTTATATTTATTTATTTATTTAACATCTGGCAGCAGCTGGCCGATGTTGTCATGTGCCTTAACTGGTGTTCTGATAAAAGCACATGCTATGAGGTATACCTTACATCTACTTCTCAATCCAACTGTATAAGAAAAAATATCCCAAATTGCCCACTGTTATGCACTTTTTAAATATATTTCTCCTTTCGTTTTATTGATATTGACCTTCGTACCTACCCTCTTCCTCTCCCTCTCCCTCTGCACCACCAGCTGGACCTTGTGGAGGAGCACAAGGCAAACCTGGCAGCCCAGTGCGAAGAGCTCCAGTTAAGCTTAGAGCACCAAAGGGAAAAAGCACAAAGTCTTCCAACAACCAGTGAATCTTCAATTCAGACACATCCAGAGGAGGAAGGAGGGGCAGCTGTTTCTGGCACATATTCAACCTCAGATGCATACAGAAGGTTGGACTGCTGGGAGATCACTCCTCGTGGTTTTGATGTACCCCTCTTTGATAAAGCAATTTATGAAAGAGGCCTCACTGTTTTTCTCCTTTCTGTTTCCCCTTAGTTTGGTAGAGCTTCGGCAGAACGTCGGGCGCCTTCTTCTCCCCCACGTGCCTGCGCTGGACCTGGCACAAGTGAATTTCGAGTGCAATGTAATTGATGAGATCCTAGACCAGTTTCTCTCTAATAACAATTCTGACACAACAAATGATTAAACGAAAGTCGTCACATCCTGGATTTAACTAGCGCTCCACCTGTAAATGTTTCATAAGGAGACCCGTGAGTGGGATATTAACTTAATTTAAGGTATGTTACAGATGCTTACGGATTTTTATTTTTAGGTTACTTTAACTAGCTTTTTGGGTTTTTTATGAAACAGAAAGCAAAAGCAGCTGTAGATATTAATTGCCCCCAAGTTTCTCAAGAAAATCAAGGAAGTAGCAGTTTGTTCGTAGTCTTGCCAGCTATTAATACTTGTGTTTGATTTTTCTCTTGTTTTTGTTTTAAATAATATGTTGCACATTTTGTATTATCATGTCTTACCAAATATATTTTTATATTGCCTATTTATATTTGTTGATTACTGCTCTGCGGCGAGGTGTGGTTTGTGGCTTAGCTGCAGGGGAGGGGTGGCCGGCACAGCTCAGGTCCATTACGGTAACCATGACTTCCCTATTTAAGTAACTGTCCGGTCCCAAAAGAGGGGTGGGAGGTTTGGAGAGGAGAGCAAAGCGCACAGCCATACAGCTGTATATATGTGTGTGTGTGTGGCTGTGTAGGAGCAAAATAAAAATGAGTTTGTCAAAACAACCTGCAAAAGCATCAGGTCCTTATGTCATAAGCTCTATAAGACTTTGGTAGTCTTCTCAAAATCACAACACAAGTCTGCCAGAGAAGTCTGTCATCACAAACTTGGGCACGTTGATATTAAATAGAACAGACATTTGTCATCAGAGTAAGCGGTTTCATTATAATAATGAGGTGTGTGATGTGGGGCACAAGGAGCAAGGTCTTCAGATTTGGTTGATTGTTTCAAACTCAAATGTTTTGGCAGCGTAGGTGGCAAAACATTTGACACCCTGGTTTTACATTTCACTTTTGGGCAATAATTCAAGTTTCATTTGGTAAAGAGCTCAGTCTGACCAGTCTGAATATACTGATGAGTTAAACTGGATCATTTTGTTTTAAAAACTATTTCAAAATATTTTTTGAAGCGACTCTCAGGTGATGAAATAACCAGCGTGGGAGTTGCATTTCCATTTTCCATGACATTTTACAGAAAAAAAAGAAGAAAAGCATCAACCACACGGTTTTACATGTTGTACTTTAACCTGCACATCACAGGCTTGAAAACAATGGGTTTTTTTCTAAAATGTACTCGATTTTCAACTTTAAGACTCGGGATTGAACTAAAATCATCATTGCAAAACTCTTAGCGGTTTAATTTTCTTTAAGTTAACTTGACTTAAATGTTTCACAGTTGCAGTGCACTGCTGATAACTCTGATATTTAAAAATTAAATATTCTGTCAATAACAACCGCAGTTATAAAAGTTTGTTCTACCTATTTTTTAATAAATAATTTTAAATAATGGTCTAATTGCTGTTTTTTCCATTGTCGTCGTGATTTTTACTATGATAATTATGATGTGAAAATCTGATATCATGACTGCCCTTTTTCTTTGAACATTGTCTGTTTTTCTAGTACTTGTACCTCACTATTTACAAATTAATTTTTATCAAGCCACTTACAGATCTTTGAATCATTCAAAGATAAAAAAAAAAATTGACCAATTTTTTTATTTTTACCAAATTCAACCAGTGTTTTTTCTACAGATAATGGAAAACTTAGCAAAGGCAGTTTGTTACCAGCAGCCTGTCACAAAAACATCTCTTCCCATTTCTTCAGTTAAATCTTTGAAACATCCCAATGATAACACTTTGACAGCCATAGCATAGTATTTTTATGAACAAGAGAATAAAAATACTATGAAATATGACATTTCAGCATGCTGTGCTTTGTGTGCCTAAACCATTTTAGGACACTGGCCAAGTGAAGGTAAAAACAAAAAGTGAGGCCTAAAACACTGAGTGTTTAAAATTACCTGTAAAACGCTGTGGAGACTGTCATAGTTTAGGGCTGCAAGTGGTACTGGGGATTGACAACATCAATACTGATGGAATTATGAACAGAGACGACTACCGTTAGATTTTCATCCACCATGCAATATGTAGAAACCATTTGCTTTGCAACGGCTTCATTTTTCATGATGGCAATGGTCCCAAATTCACGGTCAATTCAGTAAAAACATACCTGAGTAGAAAAACACACAATGCCATACTATCAGTAATTGATTAGTCTC